CCACCCCACCCCCCCCCCCCCGAATGAGGGGTTTGTCAAGTGTTTTAACCCTCCTTTCGGGGGGTTTAGTTTAGTGTCTTACACAAGATTTTAAAACGCAACCAACCCCCCCAGAAGGGGTTGGTTGCTTTTTAAAAACTTGACCACCCCCTCCGAGGAGCTCCGAAAGGATCGTTCTGCCCTAGTTAAAAGAAAATACAACGCCTATCGTCTGAAAAGATCATTTGCAATCCAGCCTTGATTTCAGGTGCAAAAAGTACTAGAAACCAAATATGGAACAGAATTTAGCTAAGAGAAGACTCTCCAGAGCACAGGAAATCGGTCAGGAGATTGTGAAGCTGTGCTCGTTGTTCACGTGTTTTTACTGTGTTTATCTTAGCTGAGGCAATTTATCACGTCGTACGTCTTATTCTCTAGGGAGCGAATTTTGTCTAGATCATTACACACTATCCTTATCGTGTTATCCCTCATCTTAATGCAGTGAATGACGTCAATGACGTAAATGAGCGAAATTTTTCTCTAATATCCACACACTTTTTGAAGACAGTTACCAGCTATCTTGATTTGAAATTTGTTTTGATTTTCTCAGAAGACGATAGATTAATTATATACAGGGAGTACCATTTAAAGCGTAACTCAACATTAGTCACTTAAGCCAGAAGCAGGTCCATCAGTTATATTAGATTCTCCTGAACTCTCCCACGTGACACTGAAGTCAAGGTCATCCTGGTTGCTAGGCCGCTGCTCATTGTATTTGCGCAAAAGCTGTGCAAGTGCGAACACGACGTATTCAAGAGCAGAGCGTGTATTCATTGTCGAACGTTACTTAGCAATGGGATTGTTTGCTGGTCTTTGTGAAGCTTTTAACAGTGCGTGTCCTGATAAAGAAATTGCCGGAAAACATTACGCCGAGTGGTAACTCGATTTCGGGCTACAGGAAGTGTTTGTCCTTGACAAATACTCATCGAGCGATAGAACAGCTGAAATTACGGCCTACCAATTTCAAACAGTGGGTCGACTTAAAGAACGGGACACGGCTGCAAAGAATTTGAACCGATGTCTGCGAGATTAGTATAAAAGCATAACCATATGTCTGTGTGCTGTTTGCGGGCCGGAGTGTTTAATGTATTTTGCGGTTTATTTATTCCTACTGTCATAAAACCGTCATATCTATTGACCTTACCTTATCAATGCGAGGGTTGTGTCTGCTTATCTTCACTCTCCGAGTCGTTGCAAATGGAGAGCAACGAAGTCGTACCGAGACATTATTTTATTTGAAAAAAAAGAATATATATTATTTAAATCTTGTCCGTCTAATCACAATAAATTCTTATTAAATATTAAAATATTACAATAATTAACATTTAAAATATTTAAAATATTAAACGATGTTCTTTATCATTTAATATTTTAAATATTTTAAATGTTAATTATTGTAATATTTTAATATTTAATAAGAATTTATTGTGATTAGACGGACAAGATTTAAATAATATATATTTATTATATCACAATATAACGCAACTTTACCATCTCTTGAAAAAAGAAATTTTCTTAATATTGTTACGGCCGAAGGTGGCTATCTTTTGGCCATTAAGTCTGGTAGAAGTGTACAAACGTGGTCGTCCTTGCTGCCTCCATCATCAGGGCGATGAAACTTTGCTAAATTTCCACAAGCCTATACGGCGTCATAACCCAGAAGACCACTAAAGTGAGATCCTAATAGACAGATTTACGTTTGTTAAGCACGTGGCCACATTCAGCGTGGTACAGACGGTACCTGAGGTTAGCGAATTGTGACGTTTACTCGCCTATACATTTTAGGTCTTATGGCGCACCTAAAGGAGTTTCGACCTTCTCTCAGTCTAACTTAGTCTCGTGCTTCTTCTCATGTTTAATTCCACCAATGCCCAGTCACGTGCTATGCTCTGAGTACGTTTAATTAATTCTCCGTGCTCGTCTCATACTTTAGACGAGATGGACTCCAGTGATTCTTTAGAGGGCCAGTTGACAGGGTTTTGTGATCATGGTAATGAGTGTCTGGTTTGTGCGGTTTTTTGGGTTCTCACGGCGTCTACCGTGAAGATGGGATAATGCGCTGTGTAGTCTCGAAGTTTTAAGGATGTAAACGCAACGAAGTATCCCAAAAAGTCTTTTTCTTTTAATTGTTTTGACTCTCGATATGTTTGAAAGTGTGGAAAGAAAACCTACGAAAAGTAATGGGTTAGAAAATTTTCATGCTCGAGCACGCAAATTTTTTTACGAGCTGTGAATTTGTTAATCATGCGAAAAATTGGTACGAAAGAATGGATCCATTAAGTAAATGAAAATGAAAATTGATATTATAGACTCCGAACAACAACGTGACTGAAATGCTGCGTGTTCGAAAGTCATTAACAAATGCGTTACAGGTAGAACATTTTCAAAGCAACTTTAC